ATCTGTTAGAAATTAGGGGATTGATGGAAGAAACAATTGGTGATTATTGAATAGAAAGAAAGTTGAAAATAAATGGATGGATGAATGAACAAATGAATGAAATGAAAATTTGGCTGGTCGAGATGAGAATGAATGAATTGAATGATCGAATGAACCGCTAAACTTTTAACAAAATTTTTTTTTATCCTAAAAATGAATGCAATCTATTTTAACTAAACTCAGCGTGTGCGCGCACACACGAAAACACGCACACACCTACAAACAAACACACTCACACAAACACACACACACATACAAACATACTCTCTTTCATATACACACACACAAACACATACTGTCCTACACAGGCTGACAGACACACACACACACACACACACACACACACGCAAACACACACTCACACACATACACACACATACACACACACACACAGACAGAGTATGAAACACATGAATAAAAAATTTGCCCGCCGACGCGCGTTCGCCTCGCTAATTCAATTTACCAGAAGCGCAATAATGCTGATGCTTGTACGAAGGCTACTACTACTACTACTACTACTACTACTACTACTGCGGCTACTACTGCTGCTGCTACTACTACTGCTAATACTATTACTACTGCTATTACTACTACTACTGGGGTACCTGCTTCGAAGTGCTTCCCAATGAGGTGTAGCTGGGCGTGGTCGCGATAAGCGTAAGCTGTGGCTGCGTCTGGTGGTGGTAGTCGTGATGGTGGTAGTACGAAGATGGTGGTAATGATGATTAAGATAATAGCATGCCTGCAAACCAGCCATACAAACGAACCGACCAAAAACATCTGACCAAATAACCAACAAACAAATCACATTCATTCAACCACAACAAACCAGCCAATCAGCCAATAAAAACCAACCAACCAACTATTTAACCAACCAATCACAGCCAACCAATCCAATCAACTAATCAACCAATTAAATTCAACCAATCACAACTAACCAACCAACCAATCACAACCAACCAGCCAATCTCATTCACCCAGTTACAACCAACCGACCAATCACATACAACCAATCACAACCAACCAATCGCAACCAACCAATCACAACCAACCAATCACATTCACCCAATCACAACCAACCAACCAACCAACCAGGCGAAAAGACGGCCTGCCCATCCCTCATCATCTTCTGGTGCAAAACCCCCCCACAACCACCCCCCACCAGATTCCCTCCATTCATGTTCCCGAACTGCCTCATGCCATTATAAACCCCAACACTATTATTACCACTATTGTTATTGCTACTGTTGCTGTTGTTACCATTGTTGCTGCTGTTGTGGCCGTAGTGGTAAGGCGTCTGGTCCAAAGCTGCCGGCATGGCACAGCTTGCCGGTTCGAAACCGATTTGACTCAGGTACGGCGAGTACTCCATGGAGGATTTACCTTCGTGATGGTGACGAAGACGACGACGATGATGACGATGGCGGTGGTGGTGGTGGTGTTGATGACGATGATGGAGTTGCTGTTGATGACGTCAGAATCTCTTTTTACATTGACCTTCAAAAAATAATTATCTTGAATAATAATAATAATAATTTACTAATTCCCGGAATTATTTTAAAAAAGTAAACTCAGCAGTATATAATCAATGATGGATGAGCGGATGAATGAATGAATGAATGAACGAACGAACGAACGAACGAATGAATGAATGAATGAATGAATGAATGAATGAATAAACGAACGAACGAACGAACGAATAAATGAATGAATGAACGAACGAATGAACAAACGAACGAACGAACAAACGAACGAATATTTATGAACAAATAAAATATTACTACCCAAGTTTCTGTCGATAAACAACAATTTTCGTCGTCGTCATCATCATCATCACCACCACCACCACCATCATTATCATCATCATCATCGTCATCATCATTATCATAATTTATTCTCTTCTTCTTCTTCTTCTTCACTCTCATTAGCATATGTTTCATCATCGTCCAGTTTAATTATTATTATAATTTATATATCTTTGTCGTTATTTTAATTATTATTATTATCAATAGTAATATTATTATTATTATCAATAATAATAATGATATTATTATTATTATTTGATAATTATTATCGTCACAATTATTATTATGATTATCACCGTAAATATTTTTATTAGTATAATTTAAATGGTACTAGAATGTCATTACAAGCCATAAAATTAGAAGAAGAAGAAGTAGCAGCAATAATTTTGTTATTATTATCACTATTTTTATTGTTGTTGTTATTATTATTATTGTTATTATTATTGTTATTGTTAATATTATTATTATAATTATTATTACTATTATTATTACTAATATTATTATTATTATTATTATCTTAAAACAGAATCTGACTTGATGATTCAATCCCAACTCAACCACAAAGTAATAATAATAACAGTACTATAATAATAAACATAATAATAATAATTATAATAATAATAATAATAATAGAGTTTAAAGTGGTACAGCGGACTAGCGTCTGTTTAAGAACCACTAGAAAATGATTGCCTTAGTATCCTAGCTTGTTTAGATACAAATTATAGCTACGGTTACAAATTATAGCTACGAATACAACTATAATTAGCTATAATTCTTTAAGGGTACAAATATTTATTGTACGTAATTATGCACAATGTGGAGGAAGAATATTGAAATAATAAATAATTAATAATTTTTAGAGCCATCAAATAAGCCAGAAAAGCCCGAATATGAAAATATATGCAAATATTGGATAATACATTATATATTATATATATATATATTTAAAAATTTATATACATATATATATATACAACATACTCTTAAACGAATAATTTACATATACACATATAAATATATACAGACATGAATACATACAAATATATTAAGATGTATTGATGATGTAGCATTTACAAAATGTATACAAACATATATATATATATATATATATATATATATATATATATATATATATATTATATATATATATATATAATGTTTAATTATGTATAGAAAATGTATAGAAATGTATAGAAATTGTGTATAAATGTATAGGAAATAGATAGAAATGTATAGAAAATATATAGAAATGTAAAGAAATTGTGTATAAATGTATAGAAAATATATAGAAATGTATAGAAAATGTATAGAAATGTATGAAAGTGTATACTGACCAGTTATCTCATCCAGCTTTTAATCGAATTGCAGCTTAATGCGTTCTTACCCAGGTTTATAAAGCTTTCGAAAGAGCCGTCCTGATTGGCCGACGGAGATCACGCCTACTGCGTTCTCATTGGCCGGAGATGAGATGTCTCTGACGTGAATGGCTGGCTGCTGAAACGGCGTACTGCCATTGGTCAATTATTTGAATTTTTTAGTTGTAATAATTGAATTGCTTTGTGAAAATTGTTTTAAAATTGATAAAACAAGTTTTTTTTCTTCGCTTTTTTTTGCTGTAGTCGTTGTTGTTGTAGATTGCGGCGGTGGTAGGAGCTGCTTCTGCTGCTGTTGCTGTTGTTGTTGCTGCTATTGTTAATATTGTTGATGTTGATGTTGCTATTGATGTAGTTGTTGATGATTTTGATGTTATTATTGATGTGGTTGTTGTTGTTGTTGATATTGTTGTTGATGTTGCAACTTAAAACGTTGTTGCAGGTAATGATACTTTCGAAATTACATCAATCTGATAACTTTGACGAACTTGTTGTAGAGAAAAAGCAGCAGACCTCAATACCCATCTCCTTCAATTAGGTATTCTAACTGCTAAAAAAGAGAGAGAGAAGAAAAGAGAAATACAGAGAGAGAGAGAGAGAGAGAGAGAGAAAGAGAAAGAGGAATAGAGATAGAGATAGAAAAAAATAAGGAGAGAGAGATAGAAGAAAATAAGGAGAGAGAGAGAGAGAGAGAATAAAAAAGATTGACAAATTAAACAAATGTTGAAAATGAAGAAGAGAAAAGCAGATACAAGAAAATAAAGAACGAGAGAGAGAAAGAGAGAAAGAGAGAAACGGAAACGAAATTTGATAGAGAGAGAGAAAGAGAGAGAAAGAGAGAGAAAGAGAAAGAAAAGTAAGAGAGAGAAGAAGAAAGAAAAAAGAAAGAAAAATGGATAATGATAAAAACAAGATGAGAGTAAAGCGAGGAATACGGGCATCTTTTTTTCTGTGTAATATGCGATTGGATTTTTTTTCAGTATAAATCATGTATGTATGTTAGTGTGTGTGTGTGTATATATGTGTCTTGTCTCTCTCTCTCTCTTTCTCTCTATCTCTCTCTATCTATCTTTCCTTCTCTCTCTTTCTCTCTCTCTCTCTCTGTGTGTGTGTGTGTGTGTGTGTGTGCGCGCGCGCGCGATTTGAAGCGTGACCAGTAATCAATCAGAAGCATAACCTGCATCTATTTGACCATCCACTCAACCATCCGTTCTTCCTTTTATTCCTTCTTTCTTTCTTTCATTGATTGATTGATTGATTGATTGATTGATTGATTGATTGATTGATTGATTGATTGATTGATTGATTGATTGATTGATTGATTGATTGATTGATTGATTGATTGATTGATTGATTGATTGATTGATTGATTGATTGATTGATTCATTCATTCATTCATTCATTCATTCATTCATTCATTC